GTTCCTCTTTTATCTTTATTGATTTATGGAGAAGCATAAGGTGATGACAGCTCTTATGGATGACCAGAAATGACATATTTACGAAAACTACCTACTAATTTTTACAAATTAACATATTTTCAGCAATTATTTAATATTTTATTGACTTTTAGTTAAGTTTTTAAGAAGCTTTACGAAATTTGCATTTCGTTTCTAGGTTTACTACCTTAAACAAAAAATTAATTAATTGAAGTATGACAAAGTGTCCTTTAAGAAACATGTCAATATACTTTTCTTCAGTTTTCATTCAACCATGGAACTTATCAATAACTTTGAATCTAAAAGTTCCTTGAATTTTCAATCTTAAATTTCTTTTTAAAATGAATTTTCAAAAATGAAAGATCTTTCTTGAAGCTTTTATTTTAGTCTTAATTTCAAGGTCCAATAAGCAAAAATCATTGGTGTATTTCAAAGCTATTTTAAATTGACTGGAAGGAGTTTTTGTTTTGAAATCGTTGATTTTAGCGCCATTTTTAGCCATCTGTCAGCACAATGTAATTTTATTTATTCAAAAATAAAATGTTCTTTTCTGAAATGTTATTTGAGGAAAATTAGTTGATTTAAAGATTAATTAATCAGAATTTAAGTAAATATTGTTTACTTTTTAGTTTAAAATGTAGTAGAAAAGCTTTTTTCTTTTTAACACAGAGTTATTTTTTCTTATGTGTCGAGTGATTTATTAATAGCCTGATTTTATTGAAATTTAAGATAGGGGAACAGAATTGAAAGAAATTACTTGAATAATACAACATGAACACCTTTATTTTGTATGGATTTTTTTTTCTTCTTAATTACCCAGTAATCTTAAAAATTTAAAAAAATATTTTAAGCAATCTAATATTTTATTGAATTTTAGGTACTTGGGCTTTATGGCCTTACTTATGAAGACACATTGAGAAAATGTTAGGAAAAAATTAACAGCAAATTTTAAATTTGGGAGGGAAGACGGCCAGGTCAGTGTTCCTTGGTGGGACCATGTGGTTTCCTACACCACTGCAGGCTTATGATGTCTATCTTCGACATTGCAACTGGCGTTTTTTACCCCACAAGCTGACATCACTCACCAGCCATCATAAGACCCTTGTGAATTCATCTTACACAAAGGGAGATAATTGCTCTTTACATCTCTACAAGGCAATAGAATACCACTTTGTGATTTTCCACAAGAAGTCATGGTAATTTGCAGATGATAAAAAAAAGCAGCCTATGGGAGAGCCTTGATTGCAAACGTCCAGATGGGATATGGCAATAAGAACAAATTCAAAAAGGACACTGCAATTAAGTAAGTTTACAAGACTGGATGCCAAAGTTTGGTGTTAAATCGAAAGGGATTGACTCTTGCTATCACTGAATTCTGTATGAAAGTTTTTCCAATGGTATTATGTTAAATCCAGGTATGGGGAGGTTTAGCTACTAAAAAACATTAGGTTATGGTAATGGTATAATGCTAAAATTAGCCATTTTCATACAGGAAACCATTACTATTGGTTGAAATTTATAAAACCCTTTTCTTAAAACAATTCATCAGGAAATTAAACTTCTCAAGTCCACTGTTATTGCTCTTTCTAGTATTGATGGGGGTTTCCTTCCAAACTTTTTCTTTAAGGTAGTATGGGATAATAATGTATACATTTTCATATATCAAGAACATTTTTGTCGGGAAGATGTATGACAAAGTGGATAAAAGTTTTCATGTGATATGTTTCATCCTTTAGGACTTCATCAGACAAAGTTTATTTATGTTAGTGCAACTACATGTGCACAAACCAGTTGGAAATTTTAAATGAAATTTTTTTTTTTTTAAATGTGTTTTGGGTGATATAATCTAACCGATTTTAGATTCTTTTTGTTTTTGTTTCCATTACCTTTGTTATAGAAATATCCAACATTGTGATAACAAAAGACCTACCAAGAATGCTGAAAGGTTGTAGGAATGTGAACCATGGATGAACAAGTTATTAAAGCACTTTCTAAACAATTTAAACTTAGTGAATTGATTTTTCTTTTGATTAGAGCAGCATTTTTCATATCAAAATTGTGGTCAGTTTCATTATGGTGAGCAACTAATGCATTTGATATGTTTTGTAAAATATCCCTTTTGTGTTCATATAATCTTTTATTTAAACATCTTGAGGTTTCTCCAATGTATTCTTTCTGGTAATCATTACAGTTAATAGAGTAAACTCCTCCTTCAAGATTTAGTTTAATGTTTTGTTTTGTATTGATTAAGTCTTTTACTGTTTTAAACATAGTTGTGACAAATCTTATGTTGAGTTTAGATAAATTCTTTTCAATTGTAGTTGAGATAAAGTTAGTTGGTAGGACAATATATTTTTTTTGATTTGTTGGTTTGTCAGGAGGGGCTGTTTCTATTTTGTAATATTTTATGAGCCTTTTGTTTCACATTGAATATGAAATAGGATTTTCAATATCTTCTTCATGTAAATATTGAGGGATGCAAATTCTGAGTGCTCTTAAGTAGAATCCAATGATTATTCCGGATTTTGTTTTGTTGTTATGATGCAGAAAAATTTATTACATCATTTTTATTAGTTGATTTTTGGTGGACACTAAGTTTTAAGCTATTGTTAACATGGTGTAAAATAATATCTAAGAAAAGTAAAGTATTGTTTTTTTCATCTTGTATGTAAATTCTATTCTGTGTTCAATTGTATTTAGTTTATCTACGACATAACGTAAATCAGTATCATGGGGATATATTAATAGAACATCATCAATATATCAGAAGTATGTTGATTGTTTAGGTAAAATATTTAGGAAAGGACCAGATTCAAGAAATTCTAACAAAATACATGCCATCATGCCACTAAGAGGTGATCCTATTGGTAATCCAAATTTTTGTTTATAAAACTTATTATTAAATGTGAAATAGCATTGATTTGTAATGAGATGGCAGATTTTTATTATTTTAGCTATTTATTGGGAGAGGTTTGTCTTTCATTCTGTCAGATGCATTTTTTTTTTTTTAAGAGATTTATTGGGAGTATGTAAAGTTAACAGCTTCATTATATTATTTTCTCTTTCAGTTGCATATACAATCCATTTTAGTTGTTGCCACTGTTGGAAGTCTTCCAGCAAGGTGGTTTTTGTTACTTGTTGAAAATCTTTGTGATTTTGTCGCACCAGTTTCCAGACTTTGACAAAGGAGTGTCTTTTCTAAGGCCTAAAGGATTCATTTGCGGAACAAGTTGAACAACATGCATGACATTCATATGAAAGTCTCAATCTGATGAGGCTATTTAAGAACATGTCTCATTTTGAAGTCAATATTCTAGTTGTATAGCATCCAACAAAGTCGGACAACCTATTCTCTGTTCAATTTACTTTACATATGCCTTTTCTATAAATATACTTTGTAGTGGAAACAAAATACAGATGCCGCAGCTAACTGCTACTGATAATAGTACCCACTTCCGTTGGTTAAAGGGACGACATTTAGTGTGTTGTCTCTAGAGAAAAACAGCACATAGCTGGCCTGCCAAAACAGAGCCAGTGCAAATCCCAGGATGTCTGGTTATGAAGAAAGAAAGTATCACCCAGCTTCTCTATGAGATAGTCAGAACAGTGAGCTGATCAGTGTTAGCTATGCAAATGATTCCTTTGCTAGCCAACCACCAAAGTTCTAGGCTCCATAAAAGTAGTCTGGGAAGAGGCAGTCAGTTGTCCAGCTCACTGTTATAATCTCTCAGTTGTGTCTCTGTCTTCGGGCAGAGTGTGACTCAGTTGCATCCCTGTCTGTGAACAGAGCACAACTGAGAAAATATTGTGAGGTACCCAGTCCCTAGGAATGGCTGCCTAAGGTAGTACCCCCTCATTGTACTAAAGAGGAGGATCCATAGCAATACCAATGACAGTGCAACTGACAGTTGCAGGAGCTATGCAATTTTTGGCCCTGGCCTGAATATACTTGCACAGGTGCCCCACATGAAACTGACCTTGTGTCACATCTAATCTTCATGGGGAGATGAATAAACACCAGTGTCTGAAAGTGCGCCACTTTGACTGCACAACGGGAGTTGCCATGCCTTACCAAGGATTTCTGTTTGTGTTACCCGATGTTGTTTCAAATTTGTTCATCCTTGTTTGTGTTTCCAGTGTCTCGGCTGTGTTTGTCCCATATGTGTGGTGTTCCCATGTGGAAGTTTTGTCCATACACTGCTCATCATGAGCCAGTGTTTGATTTTAGTGCTGCTAAGTTTTCCATCTCTCTTCATTGATAGATACCCAACCAAGAAGAACAAAATCACTTCATACTTTCATGGTCATTATTTTGATGTCCTTTCCGCTACGGTACGTAGACTTTATGAATTTAAGCGCAGTACTAGATTGGCAGCTAGGTCTTTTCATTTTACAGTTGAAATGGCTAAATGTATCCATAAGTTCTATGCTAACAGTTTCTTCTCTTGCTTTTCTCACTTGTAGAACAATCTTCTGGCTTCTTGCTTCCCAGTCAACTTTGACCTTCAAAAATTTAACTGCAGTGTCAATCATTATATTCTACTTTCTTAATTCTTGTTTTTTATTGTTCTTTTGTCTCAACAGTGTTTTTTCTTCTCATATTCTCTAACACTCAGTAACTCCTTGTGTCTTAGTGATTTTATTGCCTTGTTTGGGTTGAAATGATTAAAAAAAAATAAACTTGTTAAACAGTTTTTTCTTGTTTGAGCTATTCCCCATGAAAGAATATATTGGCAAAAACTTTTACTAAGATCTATAATGATGACAATAAGTCTCTAAACAGGTGTAACATTTTAGTGTGGAAGTGGCTTTAGTGTTGTAAATTAGTGTCCTGTCATGCCATAAACCTTTACAGTTTAATTGGTTGAGGTGTTATTTGTATAATATGATCTCCTGGGATATAAATAGTACATGTTTCATCAGAAGCTATGACTTTGTGTTGTTTGCCCACTGCTTGCTTTCATGGTTGACAAGGGGTTTATGGCCATATCATAAACAACAGTTCTCATATGATCACCAAAGTTAAGCAATGTTGAGTCTGCTCAGTATCTAGATGGGTGACCGCTTGGGAATACCAGGTACTGTAAGCTTGGATGTGTGGGTGGGGTAATGTATAACAGCTCAGAATTGGAAATTGGAGAGCCAGGTTCCAATTCCATTTGTGTTCATTATATTCACTTATGTGCACAAATACACTTTGGAAAGGTATAATTCCACTCAGCTATAGGTTAATTAGTACGGTTAGTATCAGTAAACCATTATTATCTAAAAAAAATTCTTACAATCTAACAAATATTTTCTGGCTGCAAAAGGTTGATAAACCATAAAAAACAAATCAATCAGAGTTGACATAGAACGTGACAAACACCAGCAATTAGATGAATAAAACTAGTCAAAAAAGACCTAATAAAGATGATATGGTTAATAAAAACTTTTACAGAGACACACACATATTTACAGGGTGCAATGGAAAATTGTCGCCATTTTATATTTTTAATTTCGCACATGCGTGTTTTTGATTTTGTCAACTGCACAGGGTAGTGGAGTAGGGTCAGTGGGGAACTGTGAGAGAAAGAGCACCATGGCACAATTCACTCTGCCAGAAGTTTGGAAACAGTATGCTGTACTTTTTGGCATTTGCACCAGAAACTCCAATACGAAAATTTCAGAGTGTTTGGGTGTCAATCTGAGGACAGTGCAGAGATTTGAAAACGAATATATCCAGTCAACATCATGGTGATTGGAGTGATCACTAGTGCTTATGAGGTTATGGCAGCTGTAGAAAACTCACTTTGATTGTTCTGATAAGAAACAAATTCCTGAATTTATTGGTGAGGGCCTCAGATTCAACATGGAGACCTACTTCAAATGCTTTAAGCAGGTCAAGAGGGTGGCTGCTGGAAGACCCTATGTCTGGCAACAGGACTCTGCACCATGCCACACAAGCAGGAGAACCCAGTCATGGTTGTCAGACAATTTTTGCATCACATCACCCCTTACATCTGGCCACCTAACTGTCCATTATGTGTGGGGTGCAGTTGAGTGAGAGACCAACAAAACTCCTTGTAACAGTGTAGTGAAAGAGATAATCAGCTACCTCAAAAAATAGTTCAGGTTTTTTGTGCGATCTGCCGAAGAAAAATTACCAAAAAGTAGTTAGCAAAAATCTACCTTAAGGGCCAGAATCTATGCTAATGTTCTTCTCTCCTCTGAATGATGTGACCAATCAGAGAAATCTCTCGGTGAGAAAAGCTGATGTTTTTTGCTTATGATGAGATAGTTGATTTTCTGAGCTTGGTGGACAAACACGTGTTTTTTGCTGATGAAAATTGAAGGTTGGATTTGTGACCCCATTTTGTCATTTCTATGTTACGACAGACTATCATTTGAACTGTGATTTGGCTACAAGTGTTGCGGTCGAGAGACAAAAGAAATCTATTGCAAACATTTATTGCTACTATAAGTTGACAGTTTATTTTTTTTGTTTCTTTTCTTTACAACTACAAACAGTAAAGATGAACTGAAGACAAGGATTATTGCAGTATTCACCAACTTAAACAAGGAGACTGTAAAGAAGAGTTGCAGGAGATTCTGAAGTTGAAGCCAATGATTTTATTGAATAAATTTACTCTTCAGTATTTCAAGATATTTTTGTGTAATTTTAGTAAGTATATCTGTTAAAATGAGATGTCAGTGTTATTTTCAATTTTTTTTTGTGTAATTTAGACGACAATTTATCCATCGCACCCTGTATATTTAGTATTTAAGGAAAAATAACACTGAAAAGCAACTGTGATACAAAGAATGATAGTCAAATGGACCGTAGATGATTGTATCTGGGCCTGGTTTTATAACAACAGTAAAATCTAGTTGTGAGAGCTTGAAAGCGATTGCCAGATGTCCAGAAGTATTGAAAACTAGATAAATTGTATAAATATACTAAAAACTTTAAGAATCAAGTTCCACTCAGCTGGAACATAGGGAATTCTGATTACGAGCTTATATCGTCTGGCACATTCTCAATGCAGTCAAAGTTAGTAAGGCCATGACAGGTAGAATGAGAAAAACTGTCTGTGCAGTGTTAGAATCATGGTAAGTTCTAGTCAACATCATGGTTACAGTGAAAAGATATATAGAGATTTGGAGGAAGATGCATTTCTTGCTGGCCAAAAGAAAGATCTAATCCATTAGTCTGTCATAAGAGAAGTAGCAGCAAAGATGTTCCAAGTGACATTTATCCCCGCAGATAATGACAAGTGAATGATCCATGGATAAAGTACCCAGTATCTCAAAAAACAGGATTATGTGTTTTCTTTTCTCGCCTTGGCAATAATTCACCTTCTCTTCCTTTGTGCAAATAGGAATCAAAATAATAAGTCGCGTAAAGCCAACTAGTCAACGAGAAACTGTCCAAAGAACGTAAGCATATGTTTATGCAAGTATAATTAAGATTAGTCAAAAATTAATGCTTTTATCAAATAAAAAAATAATGAATAAAATCCTATTACTACTACTACTACTACTACTAATCTAAAACCTATGACAAATATGGCATGCAACAATCTAAGAAAAAGTCGGTCAGTTGTAATTAGTCAACTGAAATGGTTAGATTTGTTCTTCTCTCAGCTGTAAGAGTTCCTGTAATGTAATCAGCAAAGCAGCTGATACAGTTAACCAGGCTTCCAGAAGCAAAGGATGAAAGTCTCAACAAAAATGTTCATCTTTTCTGATCCATAATATTTACTGATAACTGTAGACGGACTGCTGGAGTAGTTTTGATGAAAGCCAACTTTTGATGAAACAAAGAAATGTTTCTGAAAAATGAATAATGGTTGACAAAGTTTTATCTAATAAAAAATTAAGTAAGAATGCATGATAAATTCCTGAGAAACCTTAACATTTTCTTCTTTCTCTAAATTTGAAGGCAGCTGCTATAGCTTAGCTTAGAAGGGAGTAAAAAGACAGAAGTAACTAAATCAGTTATATTTTTTTAATAAGAAAAAGTGACTTAATGATCTTTCTTCTATAAACCAAAAAATCTTTTTGTATAAACGAAAATCTTTTTTATATTTATAAAATAAAAATAATTTTTATAAATAAAAAAATTGTTCTTTTATAAATAAAAAGATATTTTTATAAAAACATATTTTATAAAATAGATTTTATAAATAAAAAATGATTTTGTTTATAAAAATTATTTTTTAAAAGATCTTTTATTAAAAAAATGATTTATTTTATAAATAAAATTTTGTTTTATAAATAAGAAAAATGATTCTTTTTATAAATAAAAAAATGTTTTTTTTATAGATAAAAAAAACGTTTTTTTTTACATAAATAAAAAATGATATTTTTATAAATAAAAAAGTAAATAGATAAAAAAAACACTTATCAAAAAAATTAGTAATGGAAAGGACTACTTCATTTTTACAGACTATGAAAAGAAATTTTAGATCTTTTGCTATTCTGTTAAAAAATGTTTGTTTTTTTTTTTTTCATGGGGGTGGGTAGGTAGAACATTAGGTTTATTATTACTTCTCATCTGATTAGTAATAAAATTGTTAATCAACTAATAATTTAAAAAAAACAAAAAAAAAACAATTGTTTTCACATCTTGATTTATCTTCAGTTGGTTATGGACTTGTTCCACTCAGTAAATGTAGGATTACATGCTTTGTCTGTCCATGGTAACCTCAAAGTCAAGAGCCCTTGGTCATTCCATAGAGATTTAGTACTATGGCTAGGAGTGTCAGCCACATGTCCTAAACAGGAAGACTCCTGCACCTATGTTGTATTTAGATGAATTAAAGGCTTCCCAAACTCAGGGATGAAATCTTGTGTCACAGAAAACTATATTTGATGGATTCCTGATCGAAGTTCAGAATACTGTAACAAGGTTTTAGGAAAACACTCTATGTTACGTGTTGGTTACATGGGTGTTTCAACAAGTATCTTTCTTTCTCCAATTCTAATGCTTGACAGCCATAAGCAGTAATCTGAACTTTGAATTGCTCATTCACAAATTGGATCATGATAGTACAATAGTCATGTGTCTGCTTGCTCATTCTTCTACTTTTCAAAGTAGGAGAATCAGATAATCCTCTGGTAGCCTTGTTCAAATTCCAACTGATACAACAATTTTCTGCCAGCATCTCTGCAACTAAAGTCCTCTATACACTTGTATTGTCACATATGAAGTGACACACTTTATAGGAAATGAATAAAATGCTGCTAAAATGTTTAACTAATTTATTTAGTTGAAATAAGCACCATGTTGTTGAATGAGTGTACTTCAATGTACCTCTAAATTCTTAGTCCTTTCTTTAAAAAAAATTCTCATCTATTGATGTGATAAAGAGTTCAAATGCTTCAATGACCTCTACCTTATTGGAGAATGTCTTGTTGCGTATGAAAAGCTCAAAATGCTTAAATAAGTGATAATCAGTAGGAGAGATATCAGGTGAAGATGGGGGATGAGACAAAATTTCATAATTCAGGTTATGCAGCTTTTGGGCAGCTGACTGAGAAGTGTGCGGCCGTGCATTCTTGAGCAGCAAAATTTGGCCATCCCTATTCACAAGTCTAGGATGGTTCTTTTTCAATTTCTCATGCATACATTCAATTTCTCTACAATACGAGGTTGCTGTTAATGTTTTCCCTTGAGGTAAGAATGAATAATGAATAACCTTTTTGAAAGACCACCATACAGTAACCACTAATTTTTTAAGGTGCAGTGGAGGTTTGGGGTATTGTTTTGGTGATTCACTTGCATCTAACCACTGGACTATTCTCTTACTGAGTATCCATTTCTCATCGCATGTAATGATTCGATGCAAAATGCTTCTTTTTCCCAGTTTGTAATCATACAGTAAGATGACATTGTTTTATTGTAATCATTTTCATTGGGGCTTATGAGTAACAATATATTGAAAGAAAAATTATCTGGAAAGAAAAAGAATCAAGAATAAGTCAAGATTTTTTTATATACTAAGGAGGTTACTTCATTAGATCAACTGGATCAACAATCAACCAAAAAAACGCGTCATTTCATGTGTGACAATGTAATCTGTAAGGAACTCAGAATGAGTTTG